CAAGAACAGCTGGGTTGCTGGAATAGGGACAAAAGTCCCTTTTTTGGTGAAACAGAAGTGACATACAGTATTCTGTTTATCAGTAGATTGACCTTGTTACAAGGGATCTTAAATTTCTTCCACTCATGGAACATAAGAATTCATTGGACTCAAGAAGAATCCCACAATGCAAGTATATCTTATGGTATCTTACATCCAAAATTGTACACAGATGGGGTGTTGCGGCTGACTTGTGCAGCAAGTTCTAGTGGATTTTGTAGCTATGGATTAAATGTGAAAAAGACACAGAATTAAATACTAACTTTATATGTTAACATAGTAACATGTAGCAGATCATTCAAATGACCTGGTGAAGGTGTTCCTTCAATTTCTTTCCTTCTAGGATTGCATGCCAACAGACAATTCCATTTGCGTGTCTCACTTTTTCTCAGGGAACCTTCGATTAAAATCAATTAACATGTGTGGATCCTGAGAAATCTTTTAAAATGAATCTTTGGGGACAAAATTGGTGGTGGTGGGGTTTCCCAATCTTTTTCTCCTTTTTTGGTTTCATCTGTCCATACATATTCTCAATTTCTTGAAGTTTCATAAGAAAGTGGGTGATCAGGATCAGGACATAGATGAAAACTGCCCAGCACTGTTGGTCTAACTAGCCACACGCTCACTTCATTTGAAGGGATTCCCTAAATGACTCAGGAAGAAAAACTCAGGAAAACTTAGAAACTGAATTAAGGAGAACTTTTCTTTTCAAAGCATGAGTTCAAGCAGTAGCCTCTCCCCAGGTAGCTAATACACCTGTGCACATCCCCATACCTAAAACAAGGCCTATTCTGCCTCCAATGGACAAAATATGAACAAAATCATGCATGGATAATTCAGTTCTACAAGATACACCAACCTAGTTACTCTCAGATATTTTTCCCTGTAAATGTTGCTTACTTTTAGATTCCATCTTTCATAGAATAGGATAACAATGAATAGTCTGTTCTTGGTTTATTAAGCTGCAGCGACACCTTCTGGCAGATCTACGAAAGCCATCAGATCATTTTTTCCTTTTAAATTTAGAGGGCATGTGTCCAGGACAACAAACAAAACTTCCGATGACCGTCATTAAACACAATTACCAGTGGAGACCTAAAGTTGAATTTTACAGCCAGTTTTCTTATAGTAAAAACTAAGAGAATTAGTGTAATTAAAAATTACTGTCTCTCCTTTTTTGAATACAGTGAGTCGAGCAGAGATGTCCAGCGCTCCGTCTTGCCCGGTGAATTTTGCCTCCTTTCAGTCTGTCACGCCTGACACTGTGGCCAGGGCGCTTGACCGCTGTCGTGCCACCACCTCCTCCTTGGACCCTTGCCAGGCCTGGCTAATCAAGGCAGCTAGGCCTTTAACAACGGAATGGGCCACAGTAATAATTAATGGGTCTTTCCTTGAGGGCAGATTT